TATAAATAATAATAAATTAATAAATACATACTCAGGCACAGAGACAACAAATATATTAATGCGTGTGTACTGTAATTATATGCTTGTACAAGTAAAGGATAGTAATAAACCATGCTTATTTAACGGTGACACATTTTTACAATCTACCCTCCCCCAAAAATTAATTAAATAAATAAATAATAGCTAATTTAGTACAGTGTTCTATGTTCAGAGTTTTAGAAAGAAAAAACAATCTGTTCCCAAACTAACAACATTTGGATGTGCAATTAATCAGATATAATTGCATGTTGCTACAAAGTCTGACAATGTCTGCTTTAATTGTACAATGTAAAATGACAAAAGGTGGCTGCTGCATTTTTTTTAGCAATTACCTGTAATGTTGAGAACTTTTTACCTCTCTCGGATTTCTGCTATTGTCAGATATGTAACATTTGTTCTGATTTTCACTGCAGATAACTTGGCAACGACCAAAGCAAATTAAAAAGTAAACATGATGTCAGCGTGCTGCGATGTGATACATTTGCTTGAAATCTTTTGACACAGTCACCCAAATAATGCAAACATTGCATGCTTGATTAGAGTTTATGTGAATTGTTTGTTATATTTGGAGCCGGAACACAGCAAAATCCACAGGTAATTAATCAAGATGTGATTTTTTTTATTCCATCCAATGCAATAGGATTTAAAGTAGGGATGCACAGATACTTTTCAGATACCAGTGCCGATACTTGCCATTTTCATGAGAACTACCAGGGTTGCAGCGGTTGCAGCTGGGACCTAGCTCTGGCACTCCACCCCTGTCCTGAAATCATTAGTCTGTATTGTTTAAGAAAAACTGTCACATGACCATAAACAAAACTGTATCAGTACTCGTACTTGTAAGTACTTGGGCAAGTACCAGTACTCGTACTCGCAAAACTGGTATCTGTGCATCACTTTATTTATATTTATAAAAACAAAATCATACATTAAAACAGAGATGTACAAATCCCAGGCGCTCCGTGTGCTGCTTACAAATGATAGCTGCATCCTAACTTTTGAATTTTTCTCTAGTCTAGTCATGGAGCTGGAAAAGTATCTGTACTTGTCAGTACAGGGTTAAGTTTCCATGTTAAATATGTTTACATCACGTTCCTCGTACCCAGAAAAAATGTTTTTTGGGCAGTGTAGCCTCTGTGGAGTGGTGTTCGGGATATGCGGGAAAGGGGTGTTTTCTGTTTGTCTTGATCTATTGTTTTTCTTAACCCCTTCATGACTGAGGCCCTTTTTTCATTTTTTGCACCCATGTTATATTCCACATTTTAGGCCTGAAAATGACGTAAAACCCCCACACATTATATATTTTCTGAATGCCAAGACCCTATAGAATAAAATGGTGGTAGTTGAAAATTTTTATGTTGCGCAATATTAGCGCAACTCCTTATTATTTTCCCATCTTTGCTGTTTAGGGAGAGGTATATGTATGTATATATGTGTATATGTGTGCATATATGTGTGTGTGTGTATATATATATGTATATATATATATATGTGTACTTTTTTTACAATATGAAATAATATTCTTTCTGGTCGTAATCTATGAACTTTACCTTTTAATACTGCATATAATACTGCACAGATTGCTTCCATTATGCATGACATAATGCGGGCTTGTGGGTCATTGTCTGACCTTTGCGGGGGGGCTGGCTTTCGATGACTGCAATGCTAAATGGGCAGTGTGCGCGTGCGCACACCGACCCGTTCGGCAGTCATCTCTGGATCATGTTAAAAACCAGCCAAAAATCGTACGATTCTCGGCTGGTTTTCCAACATGCTCGAAATACAAAAGTTGTGCGACCGTACATTAGAAACGGTCGCACGCCTTCCATACACTGCACGATTATCGTACGATCGCGGGATTTCCCACGATTCTCCCACAAGAATTGTGCAGTGTATGGGCACCTTTAGGCTGGCCATACTAAGAAGATATCTCCATACCTTTTGTTTCTGAATTCATATCTTTCCATCGTTGGCCACTCTAATGCTGGGCACACACCTTACAACCATTGCAAGACTTTTGTCTTGCGATGGTTGTAAGGTAATTAAAAAAACGTACAATCTACCTATCTTGGACAGGCAGATTGTACTTGCGATGATCAGCGGGGCGGGCTTCCGATGACCGCAATGCTGAACGGGCAGTGTGCGCTTGCGCACACCGGCCCGTGCGGCTTTTATCTTGAGAACATGCCACAAACCAGATGAAAATCGTACGATGTTCGGCTGGTTTTCGAACATGTTCCTAAAATAAAAGTCGTGCAACCTTACAGTAGCAGAGGTCGCACGGCTCCCACACACCTTACGATAATCGTACGATTTCGGGATTTCCCGCGATTATCGTAAGGTGTGTGGGCACCTTTAGTCACCCAGTGGCTACCACAGCTTTCTCCTGACACTGACAGACACATATCAGTACTATGAGTTTTTCTCCATTCTACATGGAGAAGTCAAGGATTGAGTGTCCTTAAAGTAAGATATGAGCTCTGAAAAACCTCCTTGCAGAATAGCAAACGTTTCTGACTACCTGTGTTCCGAAACAGCCCCGTAAGTACGCTCAGTATTCTCAAATTCAGGAGAAGTGTTTGTAATGATCAAACCACCTCTGGCCAGACCAATTCTTTTGCAGATCGGCCAAGAAGCAGAAACCTGGAGCAGTCCAATTTGTGTATTTACAGGCTGCTTTAATGAGCGTTGCAGTACCATTTAGATGTTGTCCCATTAGTTGGTTAAATAAAGGAGTGATCTCTCCCATAGATAGCAAGTCTCTAGTCTCATGATAAGGAATTCTTGTCAGCAACCTCACAATCACCTGAGCAGTCGTCCAGTGATCGATGGTTGCATTATCACTCCTGGCTACAGCAGGTTTCCTTTCTGCTTACAGCTACAGGCTACTTGTTAAGACCTCATGCCTTTATTGTCAGTCATCACACCTGAGACTGCAGCAATTAATATCTGGGTGGAGAAGGGTGTCTGCTTTTATTGTTCAACTAACCTTTAACCATTTAGAAGCCTAAGAGGGGAGGTAAAATGGCTGCATGCAGTTAATCAAGATGGCACCTAGCAGTAAATGGAATAAGTCATTATGTAAACATGAGGGACTGGTCACCACTGATATGCTACCTTCCCTCATATGCCTTTAGTGATTCATTTGTTTGCCATTAATAATTTATAGCAAACACTTTTACAGATACCCTTTTTATTATTTTGGGTGGAAGGTAGACTGGTTAGAAAGCACCATCAGGTGTTTTTAATTTTCTTTGTTCACGCTGGAAAGATTCATCCTATTTGTCCTGGAGGCCATTGTCACTGGGATTGAAATTGAGGTAAAATACAAGGTTCTGAGTTGTCACTGCAATTGTGCTCAGGAGGAAATCTTCCCATGCAGACACCTGTTCTTTTGACACCTGTTGTGGATTTACTCTCACTTCTCCTTTTACTACCTTTTGTATCTACAGGACAGGAAATGGAGAAAATCTCTACGAGGGCACACAGATGACCACTCCACTCATGTATCTCTGCTCACTCATGTATCTCTACTCACTCATGTATCTCAAACATAATGCTTATACACTATTTTGGCTTTAGATACACTTTAAGAGGGTTACAAAGGGATTTTTTACTTTTTCTTCTACCCTTCTCTATTCTTATCAGGTTTTAGACCTCCCTCAGTGGGATGCAGAGTGTGGTTGTCCTGTTTATTTTTTTCTTCTTTGATGTGTTTATTTCTACGTTTTTATTGTTACTATATTTGTATTCAATTTCCTAAAATAAAATAAAGAATAAAAAAAAGGGATTGAACAAAGATGCATGTTTGTCAAGGTCCAGAACACATGCCGGTATGTTATTTGGCGCGCGCCCAAGATAGCTGCCTCTCCTTCTACGTGCTTTGAGTCCCCAAGGAGACAAGTGCTATAGGAATACAAATTAAATCAAAACTAGGCAAAGGTCAACCTAAATATATCAAAACTCTTCAGCCCCCTACTACATCTGAAGGCAAGTTGATCCAGGGGAAAACAACAATCCTTTTTTTATGGGCGTGCCTATTTGCCTTAGTACACAGAATGAGCCAAAGTCCCATTATCATTAGATAATGCAATCTCGTGGCAGACCATGGAGCATCCTGTTATGTATATAATGAAGGTGAGTTTCATGCTTGGAACAAACAATATTCTCTACCGGCCTCAGGTACGGGTGAAGTGGGACCTGCTGATTGGCATCAGGATTTTGTG